TGGAAAATTCACCATTAGTCCATGACCACTGTGGATTAATGGTGCACCATTCAACCATTTGGGCCGACAATATATGTCTAGGGTAGGAAAACTCAAAATTCAAGTTTTTAACAAAACCAAGACCGAATGATTCTTCTCACCTGCTGATTTGCATCTAATTCTCTCTCAATTTCATGGAGACAGCATGGATCCACCAACACCACACATGCAAAGGCCTCTGTTAGAAAAATAAAAGAAGGAGAAATATTTGAAAAATATTTATTGTTTTCTTGAATAATGTTGTATGTACAATAACCTATATATAGGTGTTTACAAAGAAAATATTTTAAGGTATAAAGTATATAAAGAGAATATTCTAAGATATAAAATATTTATAATAAATGTGTTCACATCTTAACATCCCCCTCAAACTCAAGGTGGTTTTAATGAAACCAACTTGAGTTTGGAAAGAAGAGTACGACAGTGTCCAGGAAAATGAGTTTTGGTGAAAAGGTCTACTGGTTGATTAGCGGAGCCAATGAAAACCAAATGAATAGTTCCTTGTGCAACATGATGACGAATAAAGTGACAATCAACCTCAATGTGTTTAGTGCGTTCATAGAAGACATTATTATAAGCAATTTGCATGGCACTCTGATTGTCACAATAAAGATTAGTAGCAGGCGATTGAGGAACACCCATATCTTTTAGTAACCAACGTAAGTTAAGTAACTCTAATGTGGTGTCTCTAAGTGCTCGATATTCGGCCTCTGTGCTAGAACGTGATGAAACTGTTTGCTTCTTGCTATGCTAAGAGATTAAGGAATCACCAAGAAGAAGACAATAGCCAATGGTTGATTTACGATCATCAAAGTCTCCAATCCAATCAGCATCAGAGTAAGCACAAAGTTCAAGAGATGAATGAGCAGAAAAGTGAAGCCCATGAAATATGGTACCTTTAATATAGTGAATAATGCGAAGTACTACTGCATAGTGAGTGGAGCAAGGTGTAGCCATAAACTGGCTAACAACATGAACTGCATAAGCTATGCCTGGTTACGTTATAGTGAGATAAATCAAACTTCCAACCAATTGTCTGTAGCAAGTAAGATCAACTAATGGAGAACCATCCATAGATGTAAGTTGAACATTTGGCTCAAGAGGAGTAAATGCAGTCTTACTGTCAGTGAGTCCAATTTTAGATATAAGATCAAAGGCATATTTTGTTTGAGAGAGAAGATAACCAGCATCAAAAGAAGTGACTTCAAGTCCTAAGAAATAACTCAAAACACCAAGATCTGTCATCTCAAACTTATGATTGAGAAATTGCTTAAGATCATGAATACTTGAAATGATCATATCATCCCCAGTAATGATCATATCATCAACATAAAGAAGTAGTAGAACCATACCATGATTAGTCTTGCGTATGAACAACACAGTATCATGAGGACTAGAAGCAAAAACCAAATTCACTGATGGTGGTGCTAAACTTGGCAAATCAAGCTCAAGGTGCTTGTGGCAAACCATATAGAGCTCGCTTCAATCGACAAGCTTTATTTGGAGGATGCTCAAGTCCAGGAGGTGGTTGCATGTAAACTTCCTCTCTAAGATCACCATTTAGAAAGGCATTTTTCACGTCCATCTGAAACAATTTCCATCCTTTTGCAACAGCAATAGTAATCAAACTATGAACTGAAGTAGGACGAGCAACAGGTGCCAAGGTTTCCTCATAATCAATCCCATATTCCTAAGTAAATCCTTTAGCAATCAAACGAGCCTTATAATGCTCCACGGAACCATCAAATCGAGTTTTGATCTTATACACCCATTTACAACCTACTAGACGCTTTCCAATAGAAAGATTAACTTAACCCCATGTACGAGTTTTCTTAAGAGCTTGTAATTCATCTTGCATAACTTGCTGCCAAAGAGGGTTAGAAGAGGCCTCTTGATAAGATTAAGGCTCACATAAGGAGGTAATAACAAGAAAACAATGATAGTCATGAAGATAGTTAGGAGGATTTCTTACCCGAGTAGGATGAGTTGAAGGTGGATTAAGGATCTCATTTTCGAGCTCAATATCAACAGGGTTTGATCCAACAGGTGATACAGAAAAAGGAATGGAAGAAGACTCAATATTGTCTAATGCATTACCAGTAGGCAGAGCATCTTTTATATAACTAGATGGAGCATGTGGAGAGGGATCATATAGCTCATCAAATGTATCTGCATCAAGGTCACTAGGAAATAGCTCAATAGAAGGGTCAGTACAAAGTGGAGGTTGATCAGAAGATGACACCTGGAAGTTTGATAACGAGGAAAACATTGTGTGTTCCCAAAAGACAACGTGACGTGAGACTCAAAGTTTTTATGACACAGGATCCCAACAACAATATCCTTTATGTGTAATCCCATAACCCAAAAAACAACATAATCGAGCTTTAAGCTCTAGCTTGTTATGTTCATAAGGTGGAAGAAGAACAAAACAAGCACAACTAAACACCTTAAGAAGATTATAGGCATGAGGAATACCATGTAAACATTCGTATGAAGACTTACTATTGATGACTGAAGATGGAATCTGATTAATGAGATAAACAGTTGTAAGAGCAGCTTCACCCCAAAATCGATCTAGACAAGAAGATGAAATGAGCAGAGCACGAGCACGAGCAGAATCAAGGATGTGTCTATGTTTACGTTTGGCTCGCCCATTCTGTTCAAAAGTGTAAGATCAAGATTGTTGTGTCAATGTATCATGTTCTTTCAAAAAAAATTGAAGTTTAGTATTAAGATATTCAGTGCCACTGTTAGTTCTCAAAACTTTGATAATTTTAGAGAATTGGGTTTTGACCATGGTAGCAAAATCAATATAAATTTGTGGTAACTCAAAGCGATTTTTCATAAGATATATCTAGGTAAATGAGTATGATCATCAATAAATAACACAAAGTACCTGGAACCCCCCCATGGTAGGTATCGGAGATGGACCCTAAACATCAAAATGCAAAAGATCAAAAGAAGCAATAGAAAGAGAATGACTCCTAGAAAAAGATAAAGTTGGTTGTTTTGCAGATTGACATGACACACAATGCAAGGATTCATTCAGAACATATCCTAATAAACCATGAAGGATAAGAGGACAGAGTTTATCGACTGAGGTGTGTCCGAGTCATGAGTGCCATAAATGAAGAGGAGAAATGGAAGTAGCAGCACAAGCTTGGAAGATTTGTTGATATGGAATTTGCAAAGACTCTAACACAATAGCACAAAGTAGGGTTTGGATGACTTGGTCATTTGGAAATGATGGTGTATTCATTTTATGATGAGGAATGTGCAAATAATTGAGCTCAAATAGATGCCCCACCTTGCGAGCAATTCCAAGAAGTTGTCCTGTCTGTTGATCCCGCACACGACAACCATGAGCAAAAAATGCTAGGTTAAATACACTTTTTGGTCCCTCTACTATAGGAAAAAGTCCTTTTTTGATCCTTGTACTGAAAAAACCCCCTTTTTAGTCCCTAAATTTTAAAATCTGGCCCTTTTTTGGTCCTTCCATTAAATTTTTGCTAATGTTTCATGTTAATTAACAGAATTAATTGATTATTTTTTATATAAATAATATTATAAATAGTATAAAAATTACGTGGACATTTCATTTAAATATTTTAATACCACGTGGCAAAAAATAAAAACACTAAATATTTTAATTAACGGAATTAAATATTTTTTCTCCTAAACTTCTTAATCCATGAATAAAAAGAATTTAAACGAAATTAATTTTAATTTCTTCATCTTCTTCTTTCTCCTGAACCTTATCCTCCTCCTCATTCTCATCCTCGGCATCTGCCATCTTTTTCAACTTCAAATCTTCATCATACTAGGTTCCTCATGGAACCTAGGTACTGGGTTCCGGGAGGAATCCATTTCTGGGTTCCGGGAGGAATCCATTTCTGGGTTCTTCGAGGTTCCTCGAAGAACCCAGTTTCTGGGTTTCGGTGAAACCCAAATTTGGGTTCCTCCGACCCGCTTTTTTGTTTCATTTTTTTTTCTAATTTTAAATGTACATATCTTCCATAAAAGAGCCGAATGAAACCAAAATATCATGTTCAGATGTGTTTGATATTTGGGTTTGATATCTAGGTTTGAAATTACAGGTAATAGGTTGATGTTGTTGTGTTCATGTTGCTATGAGTAAAGTGAAGGATCTGTTTTACAGAGTGAAGGATATGTTTTGCAGAGAAGAAATTAATGTTTAAAGTATTGATAAATTATTTTAATTAGTAATTAATTTTTATTTTTAACAATGAAAATATTCTTATGAATTGTGGATTATATCTTGACCAATCTCATATATAAAAGATTTATTATAAATGAAAAACAAGAATTTTGAAAGAAGGAAGATGATAGCTGGAGAAGGAACTACAAACATTGATTAGGGTTTGTGGGAGAGGCATTAAGTGAGTCATTACTCATTAAAGTCCACATAAGCATCTTTACAGGGTGGAATGTCCATGTCGGACATCGCTATTAAGATAACGTGCCACGCTAGCAAAATTTAACGAAAGGACCAAAAAGGGGTCGGATTTTAAAATTTAGGAACTAAAAAGGGGATTTTTTCAGTACAATAACCAAAAAGGGGCTCTTTCCTACAGTAGAAGGACCAAAAAGGGTATTTAACCAAAATGTTACTTCAAGGCCAAGATCACACAATTGACCAATAGATAAAAGATTATAACTAAGTTTTGAAAGCAAGAAAGCGTTTGGTAAAGTCAATGAATTAGTAGAAATATTGCTAATATGACTAACATTCACAGAGGTGCTATAAGCAGAATAAATGTCAGGCAAGGAATTATTTGGTGACATTGACGAGAAATGAGTAGTGGATGAAGACATATGATTACAACAACCAGAATTAAAACACCAAAGTTTAGTACCTGGAGCAACAGATAAGGTAGTAGGAGCATTAAGAAGATTTAATATCACCTGTTGTATAGATTCAGGGTTGGCAATAGGTTGGTCTATTGCCTCTTTGGCAACCATTGCAACAACTAGATGAATCACAGTTCTTTCAAAACTCACTGTAGAATTAGTAGAACTCACAATACTGAAAAAATCTCTAAAAAAAATGATGAAACAGATGCCAAAATCGAAATAACAACTCAACAAAATACCTCAGAAATAGCCTAAGAATAAACAATCTAATATGTAGGAGAAGAGAACCCAACGATAAAGTTTCAAATCCGGAATAAATCTAAAAATCCAACTCATAAACCAAATAGTGATGATAGGAAGGAAGAACCAAGAGTTTATAGCTCTGATACCATATTAGAAAAACAAAAGAAGGAGAAATATTTGAAGAAATGTTTATTTTTTTAAGATGTAAACATATTTATTATAAATATTTTATACTTTAAAATATTCTTTTTATATACTTTATACTTCAAAATATTCTCTTTATAAACACCTATATATAAGTCATTGAACATACAGCATTATTAAAGAATGCAATAAACTTTTTTTTAAATATTTCTCCTTTTATTTTTCTAACAGCGGCTGTGTGCCAGCCTCCCAATCTCTAAAAAGCCGTCATGAATTGCAAGAGAGCACTCAATTATTGACTGTACCTTCTGCTTTCTGCGCATTAGTTTATGGCATCATTGAGAATTTTTGAAGTCTCTAAAGTCACTCCATCCTCTCACTCTCCCACCTTTGCCGTTGAGTTCTCTTTTCCACTTACCTTCTTCGACACATTTTGGTTCAAGTTCGCTCCTGTCGAGCACCTCTTCTTCTATCACCTCCCTAACTCAGACGCTCACTACTTCAACTCTGTAATTCTCCCCAAACACAAGAACTCTGTCTCTTGCTCTCTCCCACTTTCTCTCTCTCGCTGGCAACCTTACTTGGCCCTCACCTCATGCTGCAAAGCTAATCATCCGCTACACCCCTCGAGATGGTGTTTTGTTCACGGTTGCAGAGTCTGACGGGAACTTCAATCGCCTCTATGGGTAGGAAGCACATGAAGCTATCGAGTTAAACCCCTTTGGTACCTCAATTGATGGTGTCTGACGATTCTGCTGCAGTCACGGCTTTGTAAATCACACAATTTCCCAATAAGGGGTTTTGTATTGGCATAACAACCCACCATTCGCATTACCCGTTATGTTCCGATGGTGGCCACTGTTGCTCAAAAGAGTAATCCACCCTTGATCTAGATTTAATATCTCCCATAAGTAAGACTAATCTTATTAACTTTATTAATCTAACCATTACTCTTGTCAAAAAAAAAAAAAAAA